GTGTGTGTGTGTGTGTGTGTGTGTGTGTGTGTGTGTGTGTGTGTGTGATTGTGCATAGCATGGTTGTGGCAAGAACATCCCAAGGCCACTGAATGGTTTAATATTCAGTTATATTTGATTAGCACATGAACCACCTGCCTATCCCCTAAAAATAATGGCAACCACACTGTAATGAGATCAGCCACTACAACAAACGGGAAACGGTGTGTAAGAACGAGGGACATGATGAATAAACGGAAGAACCAGAGCCAGTCTGCAGAGCCGTTGCTGTAACCTCTGCCGGAAATACAATTCAAACACAAATGTAATGTTTTAAAATGAGGACACAGTGAGAATTTAGACTAATGTTTGCATGTCTGTGCATGTGCATGCAAGGGTGATCAGCTGGTCAATCAGCAGTTTTTTCCCCAAAAGAATTTCTAATTTACAAAATAACTGACAATTTATTGTATCAAATGATTGAGTGACATACAAGTTGTTGTGGCCCTTTTTTGTTGTTCCCCGTCTAAAACTGCACAAGTGCAGGAGACTGTGCAGATACTTGAGGGTTGTGCCATGGTATTCCTTTTATTATCATCTTGTGCAGTTTCTAAACAGTCCATTTAGTTGTGTTTTGGGGTTTGTCCTTCAGAAGTAAATCTCATGTTTTCTATTTCAAAAGAAATCTCAGAACTGTAGGAAAATTCATCAAACCTTACAATTGAAAGCAGCTGTTGCTTAGTGTCACAGGAGATATGTAACGGAAGAAATCTATTTTGTTGTTGTTTTTGTGTCTTTTGTTCTGTGTGTTTCAATATTTGTTGTTTGAAGCAAAAAATGGACCACTACGGATCTTATTAAATGAAACTTCCAAAAGCAAATAAAAGCTCATTTTCAATGTTATTTTGATGTTACTGTTTCCTCACTAAAATAAGGTTCTTTATATATTTGCAACATTTACCTACAAGATGTCGTATCACTACAGGCAATAAGCTACATCGTATTTGACGATTTCACAAGATCTTGTTGTTCTGCTTTCTCCTTGCACAGCGAATCTGGCTGCCACAGACATCATCTTCTTAGTGTGCTGTGTTCCCTTCACCGCAACCCTCTATCCACTACCTGGGTGGATTTTTGGCAACTTCATGTGCAAATTCGTGGCCTTTCTGCAGCAGGTAATGGAATCATCATGTTTCTTAAGGCCTTTGTATGAAATGTATTGTGATTGGTGTGATAATTTTCTTTTTAGCATTCTTATCACACAAACCCATGTGCAGCAAAGTGCTTTACGAAAGCAGATCTAGTTTCCCTTTTATTTCTACATTGCTTACAAGTTCAATTTTCTAAATTGCAGATTTACTTGGTGTTATAATGACATACACACATTTATTCAATTTAAAGATGTTTTTTAATTGCAAATATATTCCTCTTTAAGATAAGTGGCAGAATGTGACTTATTATTCATAATTATTCATTTGCAGTGATCATTCAAAATTTTCAAACCCCAATGGTAAAGTAGGAGATGAATGTAATTAAAAAAAGACATTTACTTTGACAACAGTTAGATAAGCATATTTTCTGTAGTACACTGTAACCACAGATGATGTGTGGATGTTTATGAGCCTTTTACATAGAAGCATTTATTGCTTCTGTGATTAAGAAAAAACACATTGGCCACAGGGGAGTTTGATCAGTGGATCCGCCTCTGAGCCTTCAGGAAAGAGCTAAATGAATCCTTAGTTAAGACACAATGGTCATGGACACACAGCTCATCATTGTGTATTTAGTAGGATTTATAGGGCTTTCGTTCCTGATCTGGGCAATGAACACATTTCCACTTAATATGTATGCAGAACGCATATTATGAATGCTCCGAAAGCAATGACTGTGGTAGCATAAGTAGGAAGGAGTGGTAAGACTGAGATGGAACCCAACTGCAGATATATTGAAAACATTAAATATGTATCCCTTTTTGATGGACAAATGCTGTATGAGGTTTAAGATTCCCTTATAGAGGTTAACTTCAAATATAGAGTTTCGCATATAGAATCTGAAGTTGTTCGAGTGCTGTGTCTGGGAACAATATCTCTGTGACACCAAGTTGAATCTGCTGTAAATTGGGAAAAAAGGGCTTTCTCTCAGACATAACAAAGTCATCTTCTTCAAAGCAGAAGCTCTTCCAATTCTAACTGCATTTGCAAGGGGCTCAATCTAAGCTCCTCCAGAAGGCTAAGATCCGTTGGCAGAGGGACATTCGATGGCTTCTTTGGGTGCTTTTTTAAGTGGTTCAACTATTATTCCTTCAGATGAGAGGGGACTGTTAACCAACACTTGCTTTACCATACACTATTGTAAGTAAGATAAATCCATTTGCATGCGAGGAAGATGAAAATCTAATGCCTGGTCTATAATTCTATAATGTCTATTATGACAGATACAATCATACTGAATTTGAGGTTTGAAGATCTAGCATACTTTTTGTTTAAACTTAATTTGTTTTATTATTCATTTCTGTTAATCGAGCCCTTGTCTTTGTTCCAATGCTGTCGCTATTCACTCTAAACATACTCTGCTGTTTCGTTTACATCAGTCATGACCAACCTTTTGACTATCGGCACGTGGGTATTTCCAAATTAATTCCTCCATTTTATTCAGCCACTTAATAGTTTTACTTCACTTTTCCAGATCATTTAATACATTGATAATAGTGGGCTGCATGATGGTGTGGTGATTAGCACCGTCAACCCACAGAAAGAGGGTTTCCAGTTTGAATCCAAGCTATTGTGTGCACGGGTTATCTCTAAGTATTCCAGCTAACATGCACGTTAGGTTAGCTGGTGACTCTAAATTGACTGTTAAGTGGAGTGTGCGTGCTTGTATGTTTTTCTGTGGCCCTACAAAGGACTGGCATCACCACAGGTACCTCGCCTCTCACCAAATGACAGCTGACAAATGCTGACCAGAAATGTGGTGTTTGATCATGCCATTACAATAAACTTAAATTAGGAAAAGTAAAAAGATCAATCACAAAATATTGATATTTATGATATATGAAGTAACACATTATGACACTAAGTATCCCTGAATATCTTTAGCTTAATGTTACTTAATCAACTTTCAAAACCTCAGACGCTGATGATTATAACAGTATTACCTGCATTATTACGCAATCACTTGGAAATATCTTGTTCAAGCCTCACATTTTAACCAGTTGTATTTTCAAAGCTACTCTTCCATAAGCAAAAGAAAGAAAAGCAGTCTGGGAAAAAAGGCAGTGAGATGTTTTGCATTTTGCCTGAGGCTTTTGTTTTCACATTATTGTTAAATATGAAAATACCCTCTCGTAAAGTGTGAAACAGTCTTAGCTCAAGGAAATACAATAATGAATGAGAAGCACTATAGGTTCTAAAGTCGGATGCCTTTAATGCACTATGTGTCTTGAAAAGGAACATAGTGCATTAAAGGTCCAACAGGATTGTGGAAATATTTCGTCAGAAGCCTCGGAACTGAACTAATCATGACCCCTTTCTGCCTCTCTCATCCTATCCTTTGAAACCCAGACATGGTGCTTCAAACATCTGGAGGGTAATGGATGCTGGCCCCATGGGAACTGATAAGATGAGGAGGCAGTGCCATAGACGAAAGATGGATAGAATTAGATCCAATCTGAGAAGAACCGTAATAGGAGATTCTGACCTTCCTATTTTTCTCACTGCTGAAGATATTTCGCAGCAATATAGATTAGTTTGTCTGTTATTCAGAAAATTACAACTCTTGGAGGTGATGTATTTATGCATTAGTGCAGAGTCAGGGTGTTTTCCTGCCATATTTTGCACAAAAATGTTAACCATTCAAAATACTCAGCAAGAATTCCACATCAGGTCATTAGTTAGTATTCCTCTAAACAAGTTTAATTGAATCATGCATCACTGAACACCACTGAAAATTAAATTGAGTTATTTGTACACATGCTAATGAGAAATACTTATCGCAAATGCAGCCACCTTGCTTCCTGAGTTCCTCCGAATGTTTCTTCCCTTGAAGCTAGAAACCTCTTTATCCTTTATTAGCCTGCTTGCTTTTCAGATGAAGAGCATGCAAACTCATTAGGAAAAAAAGGAAGAGATAAAAAAAGAAAAAACAAACTAATAAACATTCAACAGAAAATCCAAACTAACACACACACACATGCTCATAGAAATATGGCCACCAGCTGACAGACCATTGGTTCTTAAATTGCCAAACCTCCAACAGCAAATGAGCTCATTCTCTTAATTAAGATAATTTTTATAACTATGATGCTGTCTGACATCCTCTCTCAAGGGACGAGACAAAATGAAAGCCTGGCTGTCTATATCATTAATTTCTCAAGAAAATACACTACGTAACCCACTTCAGAGAACTAAGAGAACACAAACTGAATTCAGTATTCTTAGGTTTGTGTTAAGTAGTAAATTGTAAGTCTAGCAGACTTCAAACTGTCTTTTTTTAAATTAATTTTGTTTTATTATTTAGTCTTGTGAACTATAAGCCTCACCATCAATGATGTCAACCTGAATGCCTCATGAACTTTATCTTGAAACATATAGAATTTGATCTTATAATACACATATGCTTTCATGATTGACATCTCCACACCCTGATGTATATTAAATGCATTATTAGTATGCTTCCCTTTCTTTCTATCTGTCTGCATTGCATGCTGGGAGTGCGCTGGTGAAAGGGGTGCCACATGTGGTGAGTGGTCTGAGAGATGGAGCTGTGAGCTTTCTTTTTTCGCTTCTGTTCTTTTTGTTGACTTGATTGTTACAAGAGGTTGTTTTTTTCACACTTTTTGGTTGGAAAACAAGCTTTTGTTTGTTTTTGGTCATGTTTTCTCGGAGATGGCGTGCTGTGTGAGTGGGGATTCTCCATTGTGGAGAACAAAGGCTAAAGTCTGAAACAGACTCTTGGCTACACTGGAGGCTACTCTGAGAATGAGCCTCTTCCCCCATTCCAACCAGACTGGATCTGATGTGTCAGAGAGGCAGGCCCAAGGGTCCCATTAGGATGCGAACAGAAAGAATTCAGTAGTTCGATAAATAGTTGTGACATGTGAAGGGTAACTTCTGGTTCTCGCTGTTTGAAGCCATTTTCAAAAGAATTTTCAGATCATAAGGGTATACTTTCATTTGCACTTTATTTTATTTACAACATATCTATCTTAAATAGTTTATTACGATGTAATTATTTTTTTAGATTGTTATTTTATTAACCAATTTCAAAAATTTTCCTACAATTATTTTGACGGTCATAAGCCTATCAAAGCTGTGTAAAGGTCCTTAATATGTGCTCTCTGGCTGGTATCAAAGAGTTGAGGTAGATTTGGGAAAACAAGGAAAAGACTGTTTCAAGGCTAAGAGTGGACTGTGCTTTTTATGATGTTACTTGTAATTTGAAGATGTTTACAGACCTGTGGGTTATCAGGAATTATTTAGCTTATGTGGAACATTAAGTCTTTATTTTTAGCAGGGTTTTTTATGAATGTATACCTATGATTTAATCATTTCTATGAGTGTATAACTAGATTTTTTGCAGTTGTGATAGAAACAAAATATGTTAAAGGTCTTTGTTTCTTCCTTTTGTCCCAAGGTGACAGTGCAAGCCACCTGTATTACCCTGACCGCAATGAGTGGGGACCGCTGCTATGTGACAGTCTACCCCCTGAAATCCCTCCGCCACCGCACTCCAAAAGTTGCCATGATTGTCAGCATCTGCATTTGGATCGGTTTGTGGATTAATTTATTAAACCAATTCAACAATTCTTTCTAACTGACCACCACAAAGATCTTGACATACATTCATGTTCCTGCGCAGGCTCCTTCATCCTGTCCACTCCAATTTTACTGTACCAACGTTTAGAGGAGGGTTACTGGTATGGCCCAAGACAATACTGCATGGAGAGATTTCCCTCTAAGACACATGAGAGAGCATTCATTCTCTACCAGTTTATTGCTGCTTACCTGCTGCCAGTGCTCACAATCTCTTTTTGCTACACTCTGATGGTAAAAAGAGTTGGCCAGCCCACCGTTGAACCTGTGGACAACAATTATCAGGTATGGGAAAGGTTTGTGTGGTTTGTGTGAGTACAAGTCACTGCTGCCAATTACATTTCAATTTAATTCTAAACGGGGTTCTCTCTTTGTACTGTGTTTAAATCTGAAGATTTGAAAACTATGACTCAGAAAAAATGTCATTGATAATGATAATAATCAAGACAGGAAATGTCATTTTGAGCCAATTTCAACATAACTTCATGGTTTGTGGATGATATTTATTTTTTCCAAGTGGTTCTATCTCTCTCTCTCTCTCTGAAACTGAGTTACGTTTTTTGAGTTACATACTCTTTTGATATTGGTATTACACGGGATGACTCCAACATGTTGTTTGGAAGGCATAAATCCCTCCTGCTTGATTTAAATGATTTTGCAAGTCAATGAACCTGCATAGAATATGGCCAATATAAGAAAAAACACACATTTTATTTGATGAATGACTGCAGTGTAGCAAACCCATGGGAAGAAGCCCCAGTGTGCCTCATTAATGTTGCTCGTCTCTGGAGTGAGTGTGTGAGCACACACAAGCAACAAGCCAATCAATCTCATAGATGGGTTTAAGTTTGAACCCAAATTGTCACGGTTCTGTCATCCTCACTCTTTTCTTTGAGCCCTCGGGTTGCTCATCAGCCACAAATGTTTGAAATTAATCCTTTAAACAAAGTTTGGGTATGAGACATATTTTTTTAGCAGATTAGTTATAAGTAATGATGGTTGATCAGGGTTTCCTTTTGTATCATGTAAATGAAAAATGAATTGTTAGATTCAGTGTGAGTGATGGTGACCCACAACATTATAACAATCCTAATATTAGTCTTGGAAAAACACATTAAAATGTTTTCTTAAAAAGTTTAACACATTAAATAAAAGATTAACATTGTGCCCAGACACCTCTATGGTTTAATAAAGCAGATGATTTTCTGTGTTTGTTGTCCTTTTAGTCAAATCTTTGTTTGTTACTCTATTTTAAAGGATCACTTTTTACTTTCTCACAGCTTTGATTACTTCTGGTCGGAAATGAAAAATAGCAGCATAATTTCCTTCCCAAAGATCCTTAAATTATTTAGAGGGGTATAAATTTGTTTTCATCCAGATTCTGCTTTTACTGAATAAATGCATTGAACACAAATAGCCCAGATGTTGTTGTGTGTGAATAATGCATTGCTTAATGTGTTTTTTTCTCCTCAGGTCAACCTTCTGTCTGAGAGAACAATCAGCATAAGGAGCAAAGTCTCCAAAATGGTGGTGGTGATTGTTCTCCTCTTTGCCATCTGTTGGGGTCCAATCCAGATCTTTGTCCTTTTTCAATCTTTTTATCCAAATTATAGACAAAACTATGCAACGTACAAGATCAAGACATGGGCCAACTGCATGTCCTATGCCAACTCCTCAGTCAACCCTATAGTTTATGGTTTCATGGGAGCCAGTTTTCAGAAGTCTTTCAGGAAAACGTTTCCCTTCCTGTTTAAGCACAAAGTCAGGGATAGCAGCATGGCTTCACGGACTGCTAATGCCGAGATCAAGTTTGTTGCTGCTGAGGAAGGTGATAACAAAAACGAAGCAAATTAATTCTGGCTTTGAAAGGAAGGAATTATTAATCATGTTGCCCTGAGCTCTGAGTAAGTGATGATTATGATGGATGCTGCTATAAGCTCAGAATGTAGTCCACCCCCCAAAAAAAAAAAATATATATATATATATATATTTTGAAATTGGACAAACTCCATTTGGGACACTATTTGTTTGTGGAAATGTGAACACAACCCAAACTGCACTTTGATAGATGATTTTACCAGAATAATTGCATATATGTGAATATGTGTAAAATAAATGAATGTTAATGTGTTGTCTAGAGTTGTTATGTGGACCTCTGAATACTGCAGAAAATTGCGTTTTCAGGAACAGGCAAAGTAATCAAAACAGTTAAATAACCCCCAGCCTCCAGAATCTACAGAGAAGCAGACATTGGGGCCCAGAATTATGCACTAAATGATGCTCATTTAGGTATTTTTCAAGTGTAAAGTTGTCTAACACCAATATCTCACTTCAGTTTTGGACTAACAGTGCTTTAGGATGCCTGCTGCATCTTTAACTGATGTTTGTGTGGAATAAAGCAAAATACAGAAGGTCAAAGATGACGTTTGTCACAGAATGCTACCTGTTCACTGCCAACAAAGACCGGACATCAATTCCTGTCAAATTGTAAAATGTTTGTAAATTCCAATGTAAATGTGGTCTTTGTATTTGAAAAACTGTTGCTTTTAGTTGTCAAGTTCTTTTTCCATGAATAGTCTTATTTGCTCTTTTAGAGATAACAATTTCCAGTTTTCATGACTTAATGGCAGCTGCAATATGAATGCTTAACGTGATAATTTCAAACTCAATGACCTGGTACACATGGTGGGTCCACGAGAAGGTCCACCAAGCAGGCCTTGCTGAGTCATCAGTGTGCAATATGTGTGATTTAGGAAAGAGGAATGGCCATGGATGATTGTTTTTTATAAGCAAGTTGCTACTGAGATATCGCAAGGATTACTGAATACTTTATGCTTCTGTAAGCCCACCCAAAAACGAAGTGATATTGTCATTTCTACAGTGAAATTTTCTGCTGATCTGTGTTCGTAAAGACTTTTTGGTCGTGTCGATGCCATTGACATCTAAATTTTAATTTATTTTAGAAAAGTGTTGACATGCGAAGGGGGCCTGAAAGTGCTTGATTATTGTCTAGTTAAGAAAGCAACTTCATCAATCCTGTAAACTAATTGTTGATTCATTATTGTTTTTAGTTAAGTTTATTTTATGTTTTCAGATAATTGTCTTATTATTTTGGTGCAGAGTCAAATCAAAGTTTTGAATCCAAGGTTTAGAATTGGAATATTTACAAATTGTCCTAATATTATCTATTATCCTTTCATTGATGAACTGAGGACCTGTAACCCGAATTTGGTTAATAGTAATAAATGCTTTAAATGATGGAATTGCTTTAAGGACGGTGGCACTTAAGTCCAAGCTTCCCCAGACAGGAACCACACAGCCAGATACCAACAGCCCTCGTGTTCGTCTTAGTTGGCATCAAAGGAGATTAGAAATTTTCTTTACTATCTTCCACAGTGACGCACTATAACTCAACAACATTGAGTGGATAAGTCTTGGGGACTAACTGTTTTCCAAAGGGTTCAAACTTTTCTCAGTTACTGTAGCTATCTGTCCTTTGGAAAAATGCCACATTTACAATAATGTATTTAAAAAAAAAAATGGAGTCATAGTCAGTAACCTTTGTTTTGGCAGTAGAATAAAATAATAGAACAAGCTTTTATAATAACCCCCACAGAGTCTTTCCGTAGACTTTGCCATTTATCCCACACTGTGACATTCAAAATCTGAACTCTGATTAGGACCCTTCGGAAAACTGCTAATGCAGTTTTCATATGAACTGCTGATATTACAGTCAATGTAGCACAGTATTTACAGTCTCCAATGAGAGCCTAGTGTTCAGAATGAAACTACCGTCCGTATTGATCATCATGTAAAACTTAGTGAAATTTATGTATGTATGTGGCAAATTTATCCAAAGGACATTCATTTTTACCTGAAATCCGATGTAAAAGATGCTTTTATATGTTCAGTTCAAAGCAAGATGCATGCTGTTTATCATTCCTGCTAATTGTTCATCCAAGTTGAAAAATGTACTGGTAAAACGGATGTTTGGTTTTGAATCTGTTTTACGCTCAAATATCACATTATTTAAGGCTGAATAAATTCCAGCCTTTTGGAACACACAGAAAACGTCTTTTTCTGGCTTAAAGGAGCGTATGCGTTCCTGCCTGAATATATTTTGTTCACGCAAGTGGAAGAGACTTTTAGTTAAATTGTGTGGTGAACATTTTAAATGAGACAATTATGTGCCTGTAATTTTAGACGGTTGGAAATACGGAGTAGAGGCCAGCAAGACTGCGAGAGACTGACAGCTGCTAGGTGTGTGTTCAGCCACTTATGTGTGGGGATGCAGGAGTGTGGTAGCTTGGCAGTACATTTTACAGGTACAGTAGAAGAATGTGAACTTAACAACAGGTGAGGGGATTTTTAGTTTCTTGGTGATAGATCTCACTGGTAATGTCAGAGTCTGAAGCCATTTGTATTCCACTCCACAATTCCTACAAACTTGGAACACCAGTGGTTGATCTGCTATGATATATTTAACTATTCATGGTTACAGGAAGACAAATCTGGATTAATTTATGAACATTAGTTCTGCAGGACCTGCAAAGTGGATAACTATCATTGGCACGACATTCAAAATTGTTTCAAGACACCTTATTTTTGAGTCATTTTGGCATCTTTGTTATTTTCCTGCCTTGCACTAAAGCAGCAAAGCCTAAAAATGTCTAAAAGCATTTAATTTATTTATGTATCAGATAAACTTCTCCTGTATAACTGAGTTGCCTTTTGCTTTAACCTGCGGGAAGGTTGAGCTCCAACTGCATTTACCTAAAAAATAATTGGCATTGCGACCTTAGAAACCTTTGCCTATGAAACTTGTCACCTCCTACTCCTTCTCTAAACAGAGGGATGGGAATCGAGGGTTTGACATCTACAGAATATCGTAAAATCCACATCCACGGCTCCAAATTGTGAGGTGGCAAGATATCTGAATGTTCTGTAAGCTGCATGCCTTTTTATTTTTAGAAATGTGAAACCATGTAATTTTTGTACATTTCTGTGGTAGTTTTGTAGTGTGGCAGTGACGTAGTTTTTGGATTTCTGTGTGAAGCAGAAGAAAATAAAGTGCCGGTGGAAGAAGTGAAAGTGGCTGATTGGCAGTTACTTCTGTGGAGTTGCACCTTCCACGACTTCCTTCCATTTAATTTCATAACCGTTTCTGAACAACGGAACATTGGCAAGATTTTGAAATTGGACATCACCAAGTAGGAACACATACCACACAAACAAGCAATGACAGATAGGATGTTAAGATTTATCTGTGGCAGAAACAGAGCAGGGAAAGCAGAGGGGACGTAACCATTTCTGGACTGTTACTGTGAAACTACTCTAGTTTTATATACACTCAAAAGTTGCTGCAGATGGGAAATAAACAGTGTTCCTGAATCATTCACCTCACCAGACTGAATGTGGAGCTCCCACAGGAAATTAATCTTCACACTGGAAAATGTTTGGTGGTGATGAACAGTGATCTGAAGAGACGCTGTTCCACAGTAGATGCGTGTGCTGCTATTCGCAATCCCATTGAAAGCATTCCCGCTCCCTCAGTAGAACCGTAGGTGTGTGTAAAAATTAATTTCGGTCTCACTGTGACACAGCAATTATTTACTGCCGTTGAGCAGAGTTGAACTGTCGCTTAAATGGGTTTTGAGTTTGTGTCGTGAGGGACGTATTCACTCACCAAGGGCAATAGGACAGTTCATCACAAATAAATTCTCTCTCTGTGTTTCATCATCTTGAAAAGAAAGCAGAATGTGTTTCAAAGGAATAAAAGATGGTTTGATTTGAGCATAAAGACAAAACCTCTTTATGGCATGTATGGACAACCTTCACTAGGAAATACGGAGGAGTAACAAAGTCTATTTTAGACAATCATTTGAAGTCTAAGTTCATTGTTATGGTTGGTGTTACATCATCTTTTGTGTCGCGCATTGGCGCTTTTTTGTGTCTTTACTTTTGCACCCAATTCCAAAAATGTGTTTGTTTGACATTATCAGATGAAAATCAGACATTTTGTATCATTCAATGAAATCTTTTTTAACATCTTTTACAATTTATTTAAGGTCAAACTATTCAAATTAAGATTGTACTTAATCTACTCACTTTGCTGTAAGTCAAGTGACTAATTTTGTGGATAAAAAAAAAAAATCATAATGTATCACTTAAATTCTGCGAGTTTCACTTTTATTTCATGGAGCCCCCGATCTCTATATCAGACGACAGGGATGCAACTGTGACTAAAAAAAAAAGATAAATAAGACACACACCAGTTGAATATCAGTGTGACCTCCTGAGAGGCAACAAGTGCTCCTGAAGAGGGAGACAGAGCATCAGGGTCACATGGGGAAACGTTTTAGTCGCATCAAACTGTGAGAAAAAAATGGAAAATGGGATCTTTGGCAGAGGGCTAACGATCTGTGGCAGCTTGTCTTGGCAATATTGCACGCTATGAGGAGGGGAAAAAACAACCCTGCATGCATGTAAAATCTGTTTGTGAAATCAGAAAAATAACCAGCACTCAAGGTGCAACAGAAGTACAAGTGGTTGACACGGATACAACTGCCCTGGCCATAAAAAACTCATAACGAAATCTGTGAGACCCATCAGGCCTCGGCCCTGGATGTTGACTCACCTGAATCATTTATCACTGCTAACAATTGATCCAGTTCAATAGGTGAACATGTTACAGCAACATTTTATTTACGTGTGTTGCTTTAAAAAAGAAAGTTGTGCAGCTGTGAGTGGCCTTGCATGAAAGTGCCACATACATTTTTAAAAGAGCTTTCGGTAAATGAGCCCTTTGAGCTATGAAAGGTGCAGCTGCCGAAATCCAGATCTACTGTTGTTTCCCTTTTCTTTCTTTCTTTCTTTCTCTATGTCTTCCTCGCACTGCTTGATGAGGAATGACGACAGCGGCTAAGCACAAAAAAAAAAACTGTCAGCTGAGGGTTGCAGGGGAAAATCGTTTTCAGTGTTGGAAATAAAGGGCTAGACGGACGGTCATACACACAAAGAGGCCCTTTTAAACGCAAGAGCTATCTCACGTCACAACACAAGCAGGAAACCACACCGACCCCATAGCCACCAGCTT